GACTAGCAAGTTCACATAGTGAATCAATGGCTGCATTTCTCACCTCTGAAATAACAAGACATGATTCAAAGACTGAATTTCTATATTCCCAGGAATACATGAGTTAGTACTGCTAAGTTCATGTTATAATATGTTCATACAAGCCACAGGATACAGTAAATGAACACTGAGACTACCAACTTAAAGAAGTGGGATACAGTAGATAAATACAGAGACTACCAACCTAAAAATTCATCCTCTAAACCATGCACAAATGCACCACAAGCACCGGTATTAATGAGATTAATATTATCTGGATCCAGTTCCTCTTTTGGAGCATCGTCTGCCCATTTTTGTCCGGTTGCCCATTCACCAGATATATAGCTTTCTTTCTGTCTCTCATGAGCTGATCTTTTTCTCTGTAGAACAACAAAGGTATTTTTAATATTTTGCAGTATTAAATGAAAATGCGCAGGAAGCCAAGCAACAGAGTCACTCACAACTCAAGTCAATTTTTAGAGCTGGAGACATTATATTCAGGAGTATACAATATGTTTGTAAGGGTTTTAGGACCACTAAATTATCTTAAATGAATTGTCAACAAACACTCACTTTGTTTTAGCTGCTGTCACATTCTTTTTCATAAATTTATCAAACTGCCTCCAAAAACAGTTGTGCGGTCATCAACAAACATCTTTCTTTCATTTCATTTGTGTAAAGTGAATTACACATTTTAAATGATTTCATGTTTAAGTCGAAAATTTTGAAAAAATTGTGGTTATTGAAATTTTAGTTCGGAATTTTAAAGTCGTTTTTGTGTAAATGACTGTTACCTTTTCACATATGTCATAGCTATTGAGGAAAGCAAAAAAAAAATGTCACAACAATGAGCCACATGGAATTGACTGATGTTCTTGAAGTGGTGTTGTCATCATTTTTTGACAATAGGCAGAGAATAGGTTGACAGTTGCCAGCAGCGTCAATGCCAAGTACAATCACTAATTTATCTGACAACCATTCTGCCTATGTGTTTGAAGTTCTATAGAAGAATAACAAATAAATCAGTCAGATAAAATAAGTGAATAAAACTTACTTTGATTGAACAACATAATACTGATGCTGAGTAGAATAAAATCATACTTGGTAGAAATCATGTTAATCTAATCTACTTGTCTGCTAGCTTTCAAGTATCTTTTAATTTGGATTTTATTATCTACTCATCCTGACTGTGAATTTTAACCCCCACTATATTATGCTATGAAATACCTTGCTGACTAGCAAACAAGCCAGCTATTGTACAAGCTATTTTTACCCATCAATGACCTTGTCATTTCAAGTCAAAAAATGTATCCAATCACATATGTGTAAAGTTGCAATTGGTAGAGGCATGTCAGAGATGTTGCTCTAGAACGGCATTATTGAAAACAAAATGGCCGCATGCAGCAGGCAGATACTGCTCATGTTTGACAACATGCATTTTGTGAATTTTGAAATGTTTGAGATATAGTTATAAATGGACTGATAGATAGATCTTTTGAGTCCCTGTTTTCAGTCTTCATCAGGAAGTTCATAACTATATACACTAGATGGCTGACTTTGATAACATTGTGAAACAAAACCATGTGCCCTGATGGTTTGTTTTTGTACATAGTTGAAAGCATTCACATACAGAGTAACAATACTC